ATTTGTAGAACAGAAACTAATGAAAAGGGTATTTTTTCCAACATTTTTATTTGTTTAGCAAAAGCTAAAAAAAACAGTGGTGATTAAATACCACCAAAAGAATTCTCTATTTGTCTCAGAAAAACGATAAAAATCTAATTGGGTACAGTGTTGCATGACTGCGCAAATGTCATTCAAAGTGCAACAGCACTGAAAGATGAAAATTGACCTGGGCAGGAAGGGGGTGAAAGTTCCCAGTAGTCAAGTGGTTAAAAAAAAATTGGAACCTTTACAATCACTTTAACACAGTTATACCCTCACTGGCCACTTTATTAGGTACACCTGTTCAATTGCTTGGTAACAAAAATTGCTAATCAGCCAATCACATGTCAGCAACTCAATGCATTAAGGCATTTAGACATGGTGAAGACAACTTGCTGAAGTTGAAACTGAGCATCAGAATAGGGAAGAAAGGGCATTTAAATGACTTTAAATGCAGCATGGTTGTTGGTGCCAGACTGGCTGGTCTGAGTATTTCAAAAACTGCTGATCTACTGGGATTATCACGCACAACCATCTCTAGGGTTTACAGAGAATGGTCCAAAAAAGAGAAAATATCCAGTGAGCGTCAGTTGTGTGGATGAAAATGCCATGTTGATGTCAGAAGTCAGAGGAGAATGGGTAGACTGGTTGCTGCGACATTCAGATGGTAGGGTCAGAATTTGGTGTAAACAACATGAAAGCATGGATCCATCCTGCCTGGCCGGGGAGTGTACATTCATTATAATGTCCTTAATGAGACAATGTCACTTTGTAAATCTCGCATTGGAGGCCTTAAAGATTCCTTTTTTTGTAGAAACTTTTAAATTGGGCATTAAGCACAGTATATGAGGAGACAGTTGAGGCATACCTAGTAATGGTGCTGAGGGGGCTGGATTTGTCAAGGTATAAGTAAAACGAGAAATGCTTTTAATGGTTGTCAGGGTAGGACCAATAAATGGGGGTTGGATGGTGGAAGGTGAAAAGTGACAGTGTCGGCATGTAGCCCATACCCCAGCCATGTATACTTAGCCATTTGGTCCTTGTTACCTTACCGCTGCAGAATTCCATCTATCTAAGCTCCAGTGGTGACTGGCATCAGAACTTCGACTTAGACCCCATATTATCATTACTATTGTTGTTATACAGGATTTATATAGCACCCACAGTTTGTTCAGCGCTTTATAATATAAAGGGAGACAATACAGCAACAATACAGTTCAATACAAGAGGGTTAGGAGGGCCCTGCTCCTTGGAGCTTACAATCTGGGAGGAAGGGGTTGGTGGTACAAAAGGTAATAACTGTGGGGGATGGACTGGTAGAAAGAATAGAAGATTTCATTATTAGCTGAGGGCAGGATAGGCTTCCCTGAAGAGATAGGTTTTCAGAGATCGCCTAAAAGTGGGCAGAGCAGGCGATAGTCTGATAGATTGAGGTAGAAAGTTCCAGAGGATGGGGGAGGGGCTCTGGAGAAGTCCTGGAGACAAGCATGGGAGGAGGAGACAAGGAAGCTAGAGAGCAGGAGGTCATGGGAGGAGTGGAGAGGACGGTTTGGGTGACAGTGACATATGACAGTGTTCAGGCCTAATGATTGGTTTCTCAGGCCTGAGTACTGTCAGGGGAGGTTACACGTTTTCTCATAACCGGAAGCAAGGATTTCAGCAATGCGTAGAGGCAGCAAAGGAGTACAGCTGGGTAAGAATACATGCCTTGGAGGAGTGGGCTATATACTGACAGTGTCACTTTGCTCTGAGTCAGCTATGATAGTGGGGTAGATCTGCTGAAAGAGTACAGCATGTTCACTTTGCTTGCATTTTCACAAAGTGATTTTTCACTTAGACTAGGCTATGTGAAATTCACTTTGCACAGAAGCCTAATCACGTACAAGTAAAATTTAAAAGACAGGATCTTGCTTGCACGTGATTGGATAATTTAAACTTGTATAGATTTACCCTATTCACCTGCTCTTTAAGTAATTCAACCCCCGTGACAATTAAATGCATTTTTAAAAAAGCACCTTAGTCTATTATTATATTAATCTGTTGTAATTCTCCACTCGCATCATTCCGACTCGGAGAGAGAAGGGCAGCACTGTAAGGTCATTAGATATTACTATTGCACAGTACATAGAGGTCTGGTTGGGAGGAAAAGAGGGATTGGACTGATCCATTCACTGCGTTGCTGCCCATTCACTACCTAATCAAGTCTAGGGTGGTCCTTGACCAAGCTGTACTGCTTTCATTGCAGTAAAGGAAAGTGAGGTCACATCCTGGCACTACTGTCTGACAGGATATATGTATTAGAAAACAAGCAAAACCAAATTACACATTTTTGGAAACTAAAATAGTTCACACATATGTTAGCTGTGAATGTAGCCGTTTGCCTTTATTTTCACTTTAAATTAGTCTGATTTGTTTAGTGCATTCCTGCACATTCTGAATGTTGAGAAAGAAGAAACTAGGTCCGATCCTAAACATTGAAACAGTTCTCTTCAGCAAACCTACACTGGCCTAGTCCTCCATGTACCTCCTCCACATTGCAGGTACCGTACCTGCTGCACAAATCTTCATGACACATAATAAAATTTCCATTTTCTAACGTCTCCATCACCAGCCATGCTGGATCCTGGATTTCTCTGATGGGTTCCATGCAAGCTATACGCTCCTTATGTGAAACTCTACACAAGCTATACCTATACTTATGGCTTAGTTGTCATTTTTAGACCCCCAAAAGTGGACAGTACGTTAAAAAAGACATGATTCCTGGGGCTTTTATTAAATAATTAGTTAAACATATACCACAAAGGACATTAGTGACAAAAGCATGGGAAAATGATGAGTTTCCCTTAAGTCACACAAAACAATTTCTCATTGTGTCTATTAGAAAATCACAATGGTCCTAAGGCATACTTAAGGGATACATTAGCTATGGTAAGTCTGGCACTTGCATATAGTTGTAGAAACAGGAGAAATCTATCTTCAAAGTTCACTACAGAAGAACTGAAGTTGACCAAGCAGCTATCTCTTCTTCTCCCTCCCAGCATTGGACCAGCAGCTTCCAGACTTCTCATTTTTAAAGTAATCATAAAGCAAGTGCTGTGAGAGGGGGGAGCTGCTTACAGAATGACTTCTGTTGAGAACATGAATTACTCCACAGTGCCTTCAGCTACAGAGGTCAGTGAGAGTCTGATTTAAAAGTAATTTACTGTTTGTTAAGAATATTTAAACACTTGATAGCTATATCCAAGCCACAGATTTAGCCAGTTATAAACAAACACTGTGATTGCCCGTTGCTTCCATTAGTGCAGTCTATTCTCATGCAGCTGGTACACACCTTGAGACAAAGACCTGCATTAAATTGGGGATCCATGCATCCATTACTGATGTAACGGTATCATGGATCTGTATACTGAGAATAGTACAAACCACTCTGGTTGGCCATGGCTAATCACATGACACAGATGGGCTGTGATGGACCCAGCCTGTTCATGTGATCACTGTGACCATTCACAGCTAGACACATTTGTATACAATGGATGGCATGAAAAGAAGCCATCCATTGTATACAACTGTCATGTGACCTGCTGTGATTGGTCACAGCAGGTCACATGGTACTGGCAATGGGGCCAGTACACAGATCTGTCATCGGCCGTGTCTGAGGTACACAGCCGGTGACAGATCTCGCCACAGGGCGGCCCTACAGGTACGCGCAAGGCGCGATCTGGGAAGGACGTCATATGATGCCCTCCCGGAGGGACGAGAGATTCTGTCATATTACTATAGATCAGCCGAGAAGTAGTTAAATAAAAGGCAGGTTTTTTTTTTTACATGATCTGTCATATTTTCATTATCGATGCCAAAATGTCCCAAATTTCTGCCACAGTATGCAAACTTTTGAGCACAACTGTACCTTGTGGTTTACTTTCTTCATTTGGTTACTCATGTGGAAAAGATGACACCATTATATCCTATTCAGTTGAAATTCCTTTCCAGGGATGTCCCTGGTGGAGGTGTTCCCATGGAAAACAATCAGAAGCATTCTTTTTGTGCAGTCTATTTGAAAAATGACATCTCAGATCTGGCTGGTTGTATATAATTAAGCCAGTATCATTAGCTTTAGATTTCCTATATGTGGCTTGCTGGGATAGTGTCTTATGTTAACAGACTTGCATTTCCACTATACAGTACTGCAGCTGGCAGTCGATGTCAGAGAAGGCCACAGCTGTCGATCCTTGTCTAGGGTGCCAAGTTAGTGGCACAGCTTGTTGTAGTCTCAATGGAAACATTATGTTTTTTAGGCTTTTTCTTAACATTCTTCATTTTCCATTCTAAGTACTGTGCAAATAGCTTTTGAAAGGAGCAATTATAATAAGCATCTTCATGCAGACGTAACCACTGAAACATTTAAATTATAATATCACTGTAGAAGTATACTGCTGCAGCACAGACGGTTCGGGAATATACATGCAGGCAATTTAAAAGTCCTTCTTCTTAATTATATGACTGTAAAATGGCTCACTTCTAAGCCACTTCAATTTTCCGTGTGGAACATAAAGCTTTGGCTGCAGATAGGGAACAAATCGCAAAATTAATGATATTGTTAGTTCAGCTGCCAAAATGGCCAACTAAGTGTAGTATCCGCTTGTTGGCAACAGATTTTCTGCACCATACATGGTGCCATTAATTCAAAACATAAACAAATATGGGTATCTTATTACATAAGGAAAGCCCTAAGTTCTAGAATTCCCAGCACCCCCCCCGCCCTGCAGGAAAAAAATATCAGTTATCACGATTGTTGGAAATGTAAAGAGGATTTCCAAATTTAGAAGTTGAGAAGTCCTCCACATATGCCACATTAACCACCTTCCTCCCGCCCTATAGTACAATGATGGGCGCAAGGTGGTTCTCTCGTTCTGATAGGACGTCATATGACGTCCTACCATTCTCACGGAAAGAGCCGAAGATGTCGGCTCGGTCATGTGATCAGCTGTGTCCAATCACAGCTGATCACATGTAAACACGGAAATGCTGGTTATCGGCATTTCTCTCCACTCGAGCTGTCACGCTGACAGCTCGAAAGGAGAGGAGAGCTGGTAATCGACTTTCCACGGAGGGGACATGTACACTGATCATCAGTGCCCTGATGATCAGTGTCACCCCAGAAGTGCCACCTGTCAGTGCTCATCAGTGCCAGTGCCCATCAGCGCCACGTGCCAGTGCCCATCAGTGCCACATCAATGCCACATATCAGTGCATACCAGTGCACATCAATGCCACATATCAGTGCCCATCTGAGCTGCCTTTCAATGTCACCCATCAGTGCCAGTCAGTGCCACCTATCAATGCCAATCAGTGCCACCTATCAGTGCTGCCAATCAGTGCCACCTATCAGTGCCAGTCAGTGCCGCCTAACAATGCTAGTCAGTGCTGCCTAACAGTGCCAGTCAATGCTGCCTATCAGTGCCAGTCAGTGCTGCCTATCAGTGACATATATCAGTGTTATGTATCAGTGCTGCCTTTCAGTGCCCATCAGTGATGCCTGTCAATGCCTATCAGTGCAACCTACCAGTGCCTCCTCATCAGTGCCCATCAGTGCCACCTATCAGTGTCCATCAGTGCAGCCTATCAGTGCCCATCATTGCAGCCTCATTAGCGCACATCAGTGAAGGAGAAAAATCACTTATTTACAGAATTGTATAACAAAAACTAAGAAAAAACATTTTTTTTTTCAAAATTTTCAGTGGTTTTTGGTTTGTTTAAGAAAAAATAAAAATCCCAGAGGTGATTAAATACCACCAAAAGAAAGCCCTATCTATCTAAAAAAAATGATAACAATTTCATATGGGTACAGTGTTGCATGACCGCGCAATTGTCATTCAAAGTGTGACAGCGCTGAAAGCTGGAAATTGGCCTGGGCAGGAAGGGGGTATAAGTGCCCTGTAGGCTAGTGGTTAAGGAAGGTTGACACCCCATTATGTACAGCACTCTTCATATTTCATTTAAAGTAGAAGTTTAGGTTTAATTACATAATTTCCCCTTTGCACCCCTTCCCTCTGATTATTTTTCTTTTTTAAATTATACACACTTGTTTTTCAGCTTTCTTCAGACTGGTCTTAATGGGTTCCACCTAACCTATTTTTCCTTGGTGGTGGACTTGGTTGGTGGCCTCTCCTCTTGGACTGACATAATGACATAGGAGCAATGTTCAGTCCAGAAGTACTGTTAAGTAAGATTGCATGATGACATGCTTCCAAGGGAGCGGGTCCATGACAGCACAGAAAAAAAACAGCAAAACAGCCCAACATGTTGGCTGCAAAGAATCCTCTGGAGATGCTTTTAAAAAGACTGGGAGGGCACAGTTTCTTCTGGACCATTATTCCTTAACAGCTGCCCACAAACCCTGCTATCTCTGTCGAAAGATAAGCGCTTGTCCCCACTGTGGACTATGCTTTGCAGCCACTACGCTGGCCCATGAACAGGCCAATGTGCTCAGTTACACTTACCTTCTGCAGGTTAGTAATTGTGTAATGCATTTTGCAGTACATAAGGTCCAGATTTAAAAAAGGATAGGCATACACAAATGTATGGATATCCTTTAAATGACTAGGGTCAAACACGGTATGGTCAAATCTACAAAATATCAGACCTCCTGAGTTTTTGCCCAAGTCAAATGGAAAGACCCAAACTTCATGTGAATTGCAAGCCTTAGAATACTGAATTCATCATAAAGGTAACATGGCATGTATTATTAGAATACAGTACAAAGGCTTAAACTCCCCATAGGAAATGAAACGGTGGTTTATCCACATTTGCTACCAAAGCACAGGAAACCCTTAAGCTAAAAGTACAAAAAATGAAGTATGGTATTTTAGATAAATGCTTTTCTTGAGAGCCAGTGCAGTTAACCTCTCTCATAAACTCGCAATGCATAATTGAACTGTCACTTAAAACAGTCATTTTAAAAGAGGGTTCTATAAACATTGCAATTTTATTCACAGAGTCTGTCTGTCCCAACTCTGCAGAAGGAAAAGTGGTGATATTTCATCTTATATATCTGGAGCTCCAGCTGTGGAACATCGAAATACAAACATGAACATGCTGTAGACGGGAACTTGGTTTTGATCAAGCATATGATAGAGAACCACTTTTCAGACGATAAAAATGCTCAAGTGGAAAGCCAAGCCAAATACAGTACAGTATGCGCTCTATAATTATCAACATAAGACAAGTCAGCCCACAGTTTTGTGCTAATCAGGCAGCACTGAAAACCAGCAAGATCAACTTTTTGTGTTAATTACTGTTTTCTTTCCCTGATGACCTTGAGAATTCAACGTAAAATTTGGTGGGAGTAAACGGCAGAGTTTGAGGAGAGATCTTGTTAATAAAATATGTTAGCAATGCTGTTTATCTGCTCAGATAGGAGGACACACGAGCAAGAAGAAAAGTTGAAGACAGCCTATACCTCTCCAAACACATACGTGGTATGTCATTTTTTGAAAGATAGCATACTGACAATGTACATAGAGCTGATTAATAAAACTGAAAGAAAGTGTTTGTGTTACTTAGCACCTATATTTCATCTATCATTTTTTTACTGGGGATATGAAAACAAAAGCTGATCATTAGTTGTTTCGTGCATCAAAAGCACATTTATTTCTTCTGCTCTGATGGACAAAGGCCATCCTTGTGTGGTTATAAGTGAAAGTCTAGGAGTTTAGTCACCCACTGGCTTCTTGTAGGTCTTTGGGTCAATGCAGTGGTGAGATCTCTAAAAACAAGTTTCTGGCTCTGGTCCTACCATTCTTAGAATATATTTTCATTTCTCCATAACATAAATCAAACTGAGGATCCAACAGGGATAGTGGGTCCCCTTGTAACTGCAAAGGATGGTGTGGCTGATGGCAAATGCAAAGGCTGGTGTGTTGTCCTGAGATCTCAACCTTACATCTCTCAAGAGTCCTGGGGTTTTCTTTCTACAATCTGCCAAGTATTAAATACATCTAAAGAAAGAACTTTTTTTCATCTTGAAAATCGGGGGAAGGATTAAAACTACTGTAAAATTTTTGATGCCATCAGTGTTTCACTGGGGAGACTGCTCTCCAAATCTTGTCCTGTAGAGACAACAAAACTGCGAGGGAATGTATCCAAAAATAGGGACATGCCCTATTAAACAGTTGTCATTGAATAAAGTGTCAATTTTAGAAGATTTCCCTAATATTGCCATCCTGGTGACAACTCATTTTGAATTTTCCCTTATTTTCAGTCCTGGTGACATTGCTCACAAGAAAACAAAGAGAAAGCACATTTTCCTTGCAAGCTCTTTAATCCTGCCCTATTCAAATTTAAATAAAAAATGGGTTTAAATACAATTTAAAATATCAGATTTTGGTGGACTTATTGTTTTACTGTCTATAAACTGTGCACATGATAAAATGTATTTAGAATGTTTTCAGTCAGTCAGTCAGTGATCTTTTATAAAATAAACTGTAGATACTAGGCACACTTTGAGGCTGTCTAAAAAAAGCCTACTTCCTAATACATTAGCTACATTACTTTTATCTAAATACATACTAAAATGACCATACTGTGAATTTCACTTAAATGGTCAGTCTACCCAAGAAAGTGAAATTTTAGTTATAGATAGGTAGAGCCTAGCTTAAGAGACATCTGTAGCACTACCCTCTTGGGTCCCCCTTATCTCCTGCACAGCCTGGCAACATGCATTTTCCAGACACAAGAAATAGTCCATGGGCTTGGATTTTTTTTGTATTTATTAGAGAATTTACCTTGTATAAGGTAAAGAGGTTAAGGGATGCCCAACCTGATTGAAGAATAACAAAAGAGGACAATTTCCTTCTCTAGACTACTACAAAAATGGCAGATATTTGACTGTATTCCAGCCAGAACCATGACAGTCATTAGCAAAGTGACCGCTTGCACAAGCCCAGAGTCCACTTAAAGTGGATTTTTAGCAAAAGTCCTAACTTGTAGGAGCTCTTAGTCAGCTAAATGAACAAAATACCAGCCCACCTGGTTACAGTACCTCATCCCAGGACAAGGGATTGGGTAAGCTATGAGCTGTCATCTGATGACTTGCCAAGAACTTGCTTTCAGCAGACTGCTCCCTTATTGGCCCAGGGGGGTGAAAAGCTACTCCTCCTGCTGCCGTGGATAGAACTGCTTTCAGGCCTTCCGCTGGGCTGGTTCCTCTCTAAGCTATGCAGGCTGTCTTTCCCTGGTGGACTTCAGGGCAGTATAGCTCCCTCCTTCAGCTTTCCTCATTCCTCCAACCTCCAGCCTGAAGACAGAATCCCCTGCTCTGGGGCCCCCTCCCAGGCTACATAGCAGCACTCCTCCAGTCCATCTTCCACCTGACTTACCTGCTGGTCAGGCTGTCATATTTATGGGCTGGTCTGCCACAATGCCAGGCCTCCTGTCTGGGATTGGTCGGACTCCCATAATTATGCAGATCAGCCCCTCCTCACCTCCACCTACTGACTTTTAGAAGCTTCTCCAGACTTCTAGAGCAGGATGAGGTACTGGAGGACTGCCTTGTAGAGCCCTCCAGCTAACTTAAGAAACCCTCTGTCTAAACCCAGGCTTCTAGCAAGCCTCTAACTACTCTCAACAACTATGTACACTAGAGGGCGCTACACATCCACTTCAATAGTGAGATATTAGGCAATAATTTCCATCTTTCTTTCTGTCTGCCTGGGAGTTTTAATAGTTCCCACATACTATTACATGTTCATGATCCTCCTGTTACAATCTCCACAAAAAGAAACAAGGGTGATAGGGGCCTTGTATAGTGGTCACAGCAGGTGTATAGACCCAGGAAATCAGTGTAGAGAACGTATGGTGTAACCTGCCTAATCCTTGGATAATGAAGCCTAGAAGATAGAGTTATGCGGCAACAAGCCTCATTAGCTGACATATCAGAAGTCAGGAGGTGTTCTTGACTTTGCTACCTGTCTCTTCCTAGCCAAGAAAAGCACACATTTACACAGGGTGGCTACAGAAAATGGACATTGTATCCACTTTGTTTCCTATTCATTAGCTTTTCACACAATGATGTGTCTACTGAATAAAATGCATAGAATGACAGATGACAAGGAGTCAATAAGGTTGTCTGCTGTCTTGTCTAAATAAATCCATCATGGCTATTGTACAGGGAGACTATTTCAATACTGTTGAACACTAAAAGTGTGTGTTTAGGAAAAACAATTAAAAAAAGCAAAAAAAAAAAAAAATGCGAAAAACTAATACAGTACATCTTTCCATTACACACACATTTGCTATGTTTTATGCCTTAAAATTTGCTGCAGAAGATCAGTGAGTTACAAACTTCCTATAGTTAGCTGACAA